CAGTCCGACATGCTTCATAAGAGGCATGGTGAGTTTTTTGAAGTTGTATTTTTTTTGTCAAAATTTTTCAGAAAATGAAAAAATTAAAAAAAATTATTTTCACTATTTTTTTTTTTTTACATACTGTCACCAGTGCAGTACAGCGTCATCATATAACTGGCATGGCAGTGATCAGGGACACTGACTGGTGACAGTATGAAAAAAAAAAAAAAATTTTTTTTAATTTTTTTTATTATTTTTAAATTTTTATTACTTTTTTTTCTTTTTTTTAACATTTTTTTTTCAAATTTCACTATGTCCAAAGTAGTACAATGTTACCATAGTAACATTGTACTACTTTGGGGAAGTGGTCAGTATTTTCTTTTTTTTTTTACACAATTTGCTTATAGCAAAGAATTACTTTGCTATAAGCAAGTATTTACCTGAATGACATCGATTCATTCAGGGTTTTTTTTTTTTGTGCTTAGCTGTGATTTGGCCACAGTTAATCACATGACATGTGCATGTGATCGCTGTAACCATTCAAAGCTAGACACTAGTATACAATGGATGGCATGAATGAAGCCATCCATTGTATACGACTGTCATGTGACCTGCTGTGATTGGTCACAGCAGGTCACATGGTACCGGCAACGCGGGCCGGTACTCAGATCTGTCATTGGCCGTGTCTGAGGTACACGGCCAGTGACAGATTGCGCCGCTGTGCGGCTCTGCAAGCGCAAAAACGGCACATGTGCGGGAGGACGCCATATGGCGTCCACCCGGAAATCTACAGCCTTTTCCCAGCCGCCAAACGGCTATTGGGCGGGGCGGCTATTGGTTAAAATGAACCTCAACCAGAGATGGATTAAGGCTAAATGGGGCCCTAGGAAAGGTAGCAGCTTTGTCCCATTTCACCAGTCCCTTACTTGAAATTGATAAGGACCATAATAGGGATGGAGAAGTCAAGCTTTTACTTCGTCTGCAGTGGTATAGCTTGTTTCATCAGACACACAACTGCCTACAAGAGACGGTTATTGCAAAGCTTCAATCAGTTTGCACTATCCCCTGGTTTATTCAGAGGCTGAAGATTGTAGCCAGGCACCCTGGACATCCACCAGGCCCTATGCATCGGCCTAGTTTGCCCTGTAGATGATCCAGCTCTGACTCAAGCTGCTATAAAACAATTATTGTGGGCCTTGCTGTAAAATGCAAGGTCCACTTAATAGACCTGGGCCCTCTCAATCGCTGCATATAGGTAGTTAGGGAATGTAAGAAAACGTTATACATTTATCCCTCCCTATGAGATTTCTGGGGAATGTTTTTTTTTGTTGTGTATGTGCAAAAACTAAACACCATGTGAACCAAAAAAGTACATGTAAACACCCACGAAAAAAAGTGCACTGGGTTTGTCAGTGGTCCTCTTCTGAAAAAGATGGACCTCCCTGACCCCTCTGGGAGGAAGACTGCTGACAGGCAAGGCACTCTGGTCCACCTAGCCAAAAGGATCTGCAGACCCCTCTCCTTGGGGCTAGTTGAAGTCGACCACCGAGTATTATGTAACGGGTTCTTTTGAAGAGAGACCCCTAACCAGGGGAGGAAGGAACCTAAGGGCCACACATTGTTCCTCTAGACTTCAGGGCAGAGCAGGCCAAGACCTGCATCCTACCATCCTTGGTGAATAAAAAAGGACACACATGAAAAGTGCCGTGACAAAACACATGAAGAAAAAATAAATAAATAAGGGTCCTGATGTGCAGCAGCCTGGTAACAAAAATTGCCTCAGCCTTGACAAAAAGGCCTACGTATCGCAGATCTTGCAAGAAGACACACCAGTCATAGCAAGAACATCTTCTCACTGGATGTGGAATCCTCATCATTCCCAGGATTGTGTTGGAAGGAGCTTGTCATCATCCCCCCTTAAAGTGCAGTTGGCAAAAGACAGGGGAAACGTAAATATATGACTTTTTTCTACCCTACCTTACCGATTTAGTATATGGACCTTGCATTTACCTTGAGCCTATGGACCTTAAATTTGCGTTAAAAAGCTTTTCTCAGAAATTGCACTGTGTCAAGGAGTAGGCTTACATGTTTTTGATCCCTAGTAACTTACCCAGCATGTTGCATTATTGAGACCTGGCAATTTGGTGGCAACATGGGGTTTTAGTTGTTTTTGCTGTGTAATATTAGTTCCTTCAGTCTGTTCATTCTACAAATGTGGATTCACAGCACCTCCTTTCAGGTTGTCAAGAAACAGGAGAATGCTGAAGTCATTTGGAAAGAATGCAACGCACAGAACTATTGTTTTGTTTGAAGAAAATTTAACAGCCATCCACATAAAGATGTCTGCAGGCTTAACACATTCCCTGCCATTGCTTTGTGCCTACAGGCCCAGATCATACCATATAAAATGTATTGAGCACTGTATATAGCACAGCATGGGGCTGATAGGACACTATGGTGACCATGTAACCATTTACTGTTTTTCAGTAGAGAATTAGTGACATTGTGGTGGTGCCAATATTTTCTCATCATTTGACTAGAAGTAAATTAAAGTGTAGCATTTGTATACTCTCAGCAGAGGGAGCCATATTCTCGTAGTAATATTAAAGTGAACCTATTCTGTAAACTGTCCTCCCTAAGAGTAAATACCATAACATGCCTCCGGTTCTCTGTATTAACCAGAAAAGCCTCTGATGTTCCCTGCTCTAGTTTAGTTGTACTTGTTTTTACCCTAGTGCTTGATGTTCCATGAACCTAGGACTAAGCCCTGTAAACTGCCATGTCACCTGTGACGCAACGCGGTGCCCGACCCCATGCCCTTCGCACCAACTTGTGAAAAAGGACCAGCCAATCTCACACCATGCTGTCACTTTCATAACAATATCACTCTCTGCTGTGCCCTGCACAAAAATTTTCCAGCTTGCGGGACTACAATCTAGGTGCCAGCACTGTCACTGGGTTAATTAATGATGCAATTAACCCTTAAAACTCCAACCTGCCAACTCTTCACAATGTTAGCAAGAACAAATGTGAACAATAAACGTCTGTAACGCACACTGTCACCACAGACAAGTTTATTCAGAAGATTATTATATACAGTAGCACGCTTCAAGAGACAGGGATTCTTTAGTGTGCATTAAATGCTTTAGAGACAGTTTCAACACTTCAAAATAGGGTTTATTACTCCTCTTCTGAAGTCCCCCTGCAGCGGTCTCTGCTCCTCTTCTGTGTGTGCCCCCATAGCAAGCTGTGTTCTATGGGGGCACACTACTGAGCTAGGCTGTGTGCATCCATAGACACACACCGCATGGGTCGGTTCCATTCCCCAGCATCCTCCTCACAGGATTTGACTGACAGCAACAGGAGCCAATGGGCCCCTACTGCTTTCATTGAAGCCTCTGAGAGCATGGAGAGGGGCAGAAAGAATTGCAGGCGGGCACAGCGCTGGATCGATACAGGACTCAGTTAAAAGTGTAAGGGAAGGTTGAACATAGCAAGTGGTAAAATGTTTTTTTTTTTTTTACCTTAATACAGAGAATTTTAACTTTAGAGCCGCTTTTATTTTTCAGAAAAGAGAAGGGTAAAAGGTAAGCAGGTATTTTAAATATGAATTCTAGGTATGGCCATTTTACCCACATATTGGTCAGGTTTGGACAAATATAACTATGTACAGTGGGGCAAAAAAGTATTTAGTCAGCCACCAATTGTGCAAGTTTTCCCACTTAAAAAGATGAGAGAGGTCTGTAATTGGCATCATAGGTAGACCTCAACTATGAGAGACAAAATGAGAAAAAAAATCCAGACAATCACATTGGCTGATTTGGAAAGAATTTATTTGCAAATTATGGTGGAAAATAAGTATTTGGTCAATATCAAAAGTTCATCTCAATACTTTGTTATATATCCTTTGTTGGCAATGACAGAGGTCAAACGTTTCCTGTAAGTCTTCACAAGGTTGGCACACACTGTTGCTGGTATGTTGGCCCATTCCTCCATGCAGATCTCCTCTAGAGCAGTGATGTTTTGGAGCTGTCGCTGGGCAACACGGACTTTCAACTCCCTCCAAAGGTTTTCTATGGGGTTGAGATCTGGAGACTGGCTAGGCCACTCCAGGACCTTGAAATGCTTCTTATGAAGCCACTCCTTCATTGCCCGGGTGGTATGTGGTGGATCATTGTCATGTTGGAAGAGCCAGCCACATTTCATCTTCAATGCCCTTGCTGATGGAAGGAGGTTTGCACTCAAAATCTCACGATACATGGCCCCATTCATTCTGTCCTGTACATGGATCAGTCGTCCTGGTCCCTTTGCGGAGAAACAGCCCCAAAGCATGATGTTGCCACCCCCATGCTTCACAGTAGGTATGGTGTTCTTTGGATGCAACTCAGCATTCTCTCTCCTCCAAACACGACAAGTTGTTTTTCTACCAAACAGTTCTATTTTGGTTTCATCTGACCATATGACATTCTCCCAATCCTCTTCTGGATCATCCAAATGCTCTCTAGCAAACTTCAGACGGGCCCGGACATGTACTGGCTTAAGAAGGGGGACACGTCTGGCACTGCAGGATCTGAGCGCTGCGCTTTGTGAATGTTCCGCCTTCTTCTGGGAAACACAGGACAGGTCCCAGAAGGCTCCGGGCCATTCACAAAGTGCAGCGCTCTCGCGCATGCGCAGTGGGCACCCGGCTGTCACAGAAGCCGGCGCGGGAAGAAGGAAGGACAGCTCCGCGGAAGTGGGAGCGGGTACCATTCAAATTCAGGTACCCGTTCCCCCTCCCTCCCCAAAGGTCCGCAGTCTCTGGTCATCTCCTTTACTGTCTGCAGTCTCTGGTCATCCCCTGCACTGTCTGCAGTCTCTGGTCATCTCCTTTACTGTCTGCAGTCTCTGGCCATCTGTACTATGCCCACAGTCTCTAGTCATCTCCTGTACTATGTCTGCAGTCTCTGGTCATCTCCTGTACTATGTCTGCAGTCTCTGGTCATCTCCTGTACTGTGTCTGCAGTCTCTGGTCATCTCCTGTACTGTGTCCGCATTCTCTGGTCATCTCCTGTACTGTGTCCGCAGTCTCTGGTCATCTCCTGTACTGTGTCCGCATTCTCTGGTCATCTCCTGTACTGTGTCCGCAGTCTCTGGTCATCTCCTGTACTGTGTCCGCAGTCTCTGGTCATCTCCTGTACTATGTCCGCAGTCTCTGGTCATCTCCTGTACTATGTCCGCAGTCTCTGGTCATCTCCTGTACTGTGTCTGCAGTCTCTGGTCATCTCCTGCACTGTCCGCAGTCTCTGGTCATCTCCAGTACTATGTCCGCAGTCTCTGGTCATCTCCTGTACTGTGTCCGCAGTCTCTGGTCATCTCCTGTACTGTGTCTGCAGTCTCTGGTCATCTCCTGCACTGTCCGCAGTCTCTGGTCATCTCCAGTACTATGTCCACAGTCTCTGGTCATCTCCTGTACTGTGTCCGCAGTCTCTGGTCATCTCCTGTACTGTGTCTGCAGTCTCTGGTCATCTCCTGTACTGTGTCCGCAGTCTCTGGTCATCTCCTGTACTGTGTCCGCAGTCTCTGGTCATCTCCTGTACTGTGTCTGCAGTCCATTGGTTCAGAATATTTTTTTTCTTGTTTTTCTCCTCTAAAACCTAGGCGTGTCTTATGGTCAGGTGTGTCTTATGGAGCGAAAAATACGGTAAACAAATCCTCCCACATAAGTTGTACCTATTTATTTGCAGTCTTCTCTCCATGGCCGAATTTATAAAGCTTGTCTGAGAGAAAAGGGGGGTGGAAAGCTAAAATTACACACTGCAGAGCTCAGTGCGGAGAACTCTGAAAGCTGATTGGAGGGAATGGACACCCATCTCCACACAGCTCACAGAGCTGAGGTTGTCGATCTGCTGGAGGTCCCTCCACGTCACCATTTTTCTCTTTGTGTGGCAAAATGTGTCAGAACTGATTCATGCTGATAGAGGAACAAAGCAGCAAACAGAAATGACTCTTAGTGCTCTTAACTGAGAAAAGTACATATAGGGGGATATGCTTTGTTTTCATATTGTCATATTTCATGACTGAGGTTTACAATCAGTTTAATGCAGGGAATGCATTAAGGTTAAAATGTTTAGGCTTACAAGTAATTGTTAATGAATAAGACATTGTAACAAATATAAATGGAGAAACAGAAAAAGGGCGCACCGACCTAGTGCATTACCGTTTAAAATGATTTATTAAAGAAACAAAAATAGGTATCATACTCACAATGGACATAATGACACAGGCATGTCAAACTAAACAAGGTGTATGATCCAAACAACATCTGAGTCCATATGATGGAACCCTGGATGACCAACTGGCTAACGCGTTTCGAGGACACAACTTCTTCCTCAGGGCTCTGAGGAAGTGGTATGTCAAAATGAACAAGGTGTATGATCCAAACAACATCTGAGTCCATACGATGGAACCCTGGATGACCAACTGGTTAACGCGTTTCGAGGACACAACCTCTTCCTCAGGGCTCTGAGGAAGAGGTTGTGTCCTCGAAACGTGATAGATAGTTGGTCATCCAGGGTTCCATCGTATGGACTCAGATGTTGTTTGGATCATACACCTTGTTCAGTTTGACATGCCTTTGTCATTATGTCCATTGTGAGTATGATACCTATTTTTGTTTCTTTAATAAATTATTTTAAACGATAATTCACTAGGTCGGTGCGCCCTTTTTCTGTTTCTCCATTTGTATCCAGTGTATTCGGACCACCCAGGTCTGTTGAGGGCAGCAAGCAGTGCATATTCCAGAACATTCCTATTGGGTCTACTGAGTCCTTTCCTAGCGCAGGAGTAAAGTGTTTGTTGTGTTGGATTGTAACAAATATAAAGTAGGTGTTTCCCAATTTGGTTGCAAAAGTGGAAATAGAATTTAAACATGTCTTAATGTAATAAACCACAAACAATTTCCCTTCGTGTACCCACAGTATTTAATGGATGTACTGTCACCATTTTAATGGGTGAGGGGCTGAACTTCTTAGAACTGTTTGATACATCGGCTGAGGAGGATTACAAAAAAAGAGGGACCCCTAAGATAGCCCCAGACAGATGTGTACCTTGTATACTTCTCAGTGGTCTCTACAGAATTTACAAATGATAGAGGATTGTGTCTAAAATCAATAACTCCTCCGAGACTCACTTTCAGCTCATTAACACATAGATCTCAATAGAAGTCTCAAGATTCCTTGACAATGGACGTCTCAGGAAATATACAGAAACCTCTAACTCCAGAGACAGTTGAAAAAAATATAAAGCGTGTTACTGTTGCCACTTCCATAACCGCTTGGGATCTTTGGTGAACTTCAAACCTAGAGCTTTGTTTACACTGTCACTTTACATCATGGCTGCCTAACCTTTTATTGGATGTCATCCTTCCACCATGTTCTTTTTCTTTTCCTTACTGTCTCCCACAGAGGAGCTTGCACAGCTGCTCTCCAGACAAGATTTTTGTGATATGTTCAAAAAATTGGAATTTTATATTCAATATTCCTTCCAACAGATGTGGTTCTGCTATAGTGAGTCTTTGCAGCAGTGGCACCTCTCCATTAATGACCACGGCTGTCCGGCTGATGTTCAATATCCTTCTGTAACACCTTTGTTCAAAACTTGTTGTCTTCTTGTTTTCCCTCACAATATCTCCAAAAATTCTTGCACAGTGGTTAAAGTCTATACACCCCTGTTAAAATGTCAGGTTTCTGTTATGTAAAAAAAATAAGACAAAAATAAGTAAATTCAGAACTTTTTCCACCTTTAATGTGACCTATAAACTGTACAACTCAGTTAAGCAACAAACTGAAATCATTTAGGTGGAGGGAAGTTAAAAAAAAAAAAAACAAAACAACTAAAATAATATGGTTGCACAAGTGTGCACACCCTTAAACTAATCCTTTGTTGAAGCCCCTTTTGATTTGATTCCAGCACTCAGTCTTTTTGGGGATGAGTCTATCAGCATGGCACATCTTTACTTTGCAATATTTGCCCGCTCTTCCATGCAGAAACACTCCAAATCTGTCAGATTGCAAAGGCATCTCCTGTGCACAGTCCTCTTCAGATCACCCCACAGATTTTTGATCCGATTCAGGTCTGGGCTCTGGCTGGGTCATTCCAAAACTTTAATCTTCTTCTGGTGAGAAGCCATTCCTTTGTTGATTGGATGTATGCTTTGGGTCGTTGTCATGCTGAAAGATGAAGTTCCTTTTCATATTCAGCTTTCTAGCAGAAGCCTGAAGGTTTTGTTCCAATATTGACTGGTATTTGCAACTGTTCATAATTCCCTCTACCTTGACTAAGGCCCCAGTTCCAGCTGAAGAAAATCAGCCCCAAAGCATGCTGCTGCCACCACCATGCTTCACTGTGGGTATGGTGTTCTTTTGGTGATGTGCAGTGTTGTTTTTGCACCAAGCATATTTTTTGGAATTATGGCCATAAAGTTCAAGCTTTGTTTCATCAGACCATAACACATTTTCCCACATGCTTTTAGGAGACTTCAGATGTGTTTTTGCAAAATCTAGCCAGACTTGGATGTTTTTCTTTGTAAGAAAAGGCTTCCATCTTGCCACTCTACCCCATAGCCCAGACATATGAAGAATACGGGAGATTTTTGTCTCTTGTACCACACAGCCAGTACTTGCCAGATATTCCTGCAGCTTCTTTAATGCTTCTGTAGGCCTCTTGGCAGTCTCCCAGACCAGTTTTCTTCTTGTTCTTTCATCAATTTTGGAGGGACGTCTAGTTCTTGATAATGTCACTGTTGCGTTATATTTCCTCCGCTTCATGATGACTGTCTTCACTGTGTTCCATGGGATATCTAATGCCTTGGAAATTCTTTTGTACCCTTCTGATTGACACCTTTTAACAACGAGATCCCTCTGATGCTTTGGAAACTCTCTGTGGACCATGGTTTTTGCTGCAGGATGCGACTAAGAAAATGTCAGGAAAGACCTACTAGAAAAGCTGAACTTTATGTGGGGTTAATCAGAGGCACTTTAAATGATGGCTGGTGTGTACTGACTCCTATTTAACATATTGAATTTGATTGCTTAATTGTGAACACAGCTACATCCCCAGCTATAAGAGGGTGTGCACACGCTCATGCAACCACATTATTTTCATTTTTTTTATGTTTACTCCCCCCCCCCCCCCCCCCCCCCCCGAAAGATTTCAGTTTGGTTTTTCAATTGAGTTGTACAGTTTAAAGGTCACATTTAAAGGTGGAAAAAGTTCTGAAATGATTTATCTTTGTCTCATTTTTTTACATCACAGAAACCTGACATTTTAACAGGGGTCTGTAGACTTTTTATATCCACTGTACCTGAGAACAGATCAAAACTGTGCTTGTGGTACTTGTGGTAGTCTTTTCTCTGTGCTTATAGTGGAGGTCTTTGTATCTCCAGACCCTTGTTTGGTTCCATCCAACTCTGGCATCAACATCATTCAATTATTCATGAATCCATATTCCGAGGTATTAGATACTTGCTTTTTTTCTTTCATTTTCAAGCATTACTTTTACTTGTGTAGCGGTACCCCCAGAGGAGTCCCCTGTATTAAAAGACACTTGGGTATTTTCCTGAAATTGCCCTGCAGCCAGGCACAAAATCACTTTTTTGGCTCAATGAACAGTCTAGTGGTATGCTCTTCTGATACTGTATCATAGAACTTGAACTTGGATAGGAGTAGGGTAACTGTGGGATACTCCAGTAACCTCTAGCAGCAACTTTGAGGACACCAAGCTTCCTTCTGTAGAACTATGAGCAAAGTCCTTGTACAATTAGATGCTGGACTGAACTTTGTAGCAGCAACTTAAGGATATACGTCTTCCTCTTAAAACAATTCAAGCAGAGTCCTTTCACTAAGAATTAAATAGGCTGAGCTTTTTAGAACATCAGCCACAGTGTCTCCTTTACACACACAGCTGACTCTCTAATGCCAGAGGGGTGGCAACAGCCCCCAGTCTCTAAAATCTCTCACACAAGTATATACTCACAAGCATCTTCAGATGTTGGTTGCCTCCCGACAATATCATCCACACACTTTCTGCCTGTGACATCAGACTAGATCCTCATACAGCAACCCCTCAGTCAGTTTCCAGCAACTAAGCTCCTCAGCTAGCCCAGTTGAGGCCTCAATTAACAGCAAGCATATGGCAGGATTTCCTAGGGGGCTAGCAGCCCCCTGTCAAGGTCCTACCTTTTCCCAGAGGTTATACTGCTCCATGTGCTGGCATCCATCTTGGATTTCTGCAGAGCATGGTGGGAGTCTTTTATGCCTTCAGGCCTCTGCGGTCCATCCCCCAGAGGGGTGTGGTTGATCACATATAAGCCTGTTGTCCACACGTGCCCTTTGCATTCGTGTCTTGTGTGTTAGTGTGACTATAGCTCTGTTTATACTCTCGTGGCTCTCCTGGAATCTGACTCGGCTTTTGACTGACCATTCTGTGCGTTTTCCATTGATCTGACCTTCCGTTGCTGAACCCGGCCTTTGACCTGTTATTCTTGTCTACCGTTCTGTACCGT